ATAAGTTGGAAGAGATATATACTAATAAGGAAGAGAAGAATAATAGTAATGCAATCTAACTAAATTATTGACAGCATTGTGGAAATTAGTTGCTAAGTAGAGAAATGGCATTGGGGGAAAAACTGTCCTTGTGTCTAGTTGTTCTGGTGTGCAGTGCCCTATAGCGTCGTTTTAAGGGTAGAAGTTGAAACAATTTATGTCCAGGATGGGAGGGGCCTATAGATATTTTCACAGCCCTCTTTTTGACTCGTGCAGTATACAGGTCCTCAATGGAAGGCAGGTTGGTAGCCATTGTTTTTTCTGCAGTTCTAATTATCCATTGATAATAGTACTTGGACTTATATACCACTTCATAGTGCTTTAAAGACCTCTCAAAGTGGTTTACAGAGGCAGCATATAGCCCCCGATTATCCTGGCATTATCAATTTGGATATTTTGGATATTTGCATATTAATTTTCTTGTGCTGATTAATGACCATAAAGTATGGTAATGTTTTTTGGTACCTTTAGCAATACCCAGGTGGTAATAATCAACCAATATCTTACAGGTTTAGTTTGTCTGAAGTCCTGACAAGAGACACAGAAGGCAATGGACACCAACCTCAATCACACAGACTTGGGGTTCCATGCCATCTTCATCCACTGGGATCCGTGCTTGTCTCATCACCCATTCCTGGATGGCATCAGTAATGTGGGGCACAACTGTAAAATAATTTTTAAAAAGCTATTGTTTCAATAATTTCTGGCTACATAGGTTTCATCATTATTTCTTTCCCCATTACCTCCCTTCTCCTGTTTTCAGGGCTGACATCATATAAGCTAACGGTAAAGGTTTCCTTCACACATATGTGCTAGTCGTTCCTGACTCTAGGGGGCAGTGCTCATCTCAGTTTCAAAGTGGAAGAGTCAATTCTGTCTGAAGACATTCTCCATGGTCATGTGGCCGACATGACTAAATGCCGAAGGCGCATGGAACACTGTTACCTTCCCACCAAAGGTGGTTCCTATTTTTCTACTTGCATTTTTGCATGCTTTCAAACTTTAGGTTGGCAGAAGCTGGGATAAGTAACGTGAGCTCACTCCGTTACACGGCCAAACCGCCAAACCGCCCACCTTCTGATCGACAAGCTCAGCGTCTTAACCACTGAGCCACCACGTCCCTTTTTCTGGCTACATACTTGGTTTCAATTAGAATCATCTCATGTTAACACTGAACATTCATTTCTTGGTGAATTTCTGGTTATTTGATTTTATTAATTCAATCTAGATGCTATCCAACTCTAACCAATTTGGCTATTTTGTTTTATCCAATAAGGTTACTGGATACCTTATCATTCCTGTTGGCTAGTGACACTGCATTCTCGTGAACATATTCCTGAGTAAAGTCTCCACTGTTCTGGCTTACAGCAACATGCAAATACAACTAGAATAGTATTAGGTGTTCCAGGGATGCCAGCAGGGTAAGGTCAAAAAAGTCAAGATGGCGACTTTAACGATGCAATCAAAGGTGTACACGACACACATAAAAAACTATGAAGCTTTGATTACTATGAAGCTTTGTTTCACTGTGGCTGATATCTTAATTTTTTGACCACTCCCTAAAGACATCCTTGAGTTGCTCTAACAATTATTCTCTTCTTTATTTATTTATAGTATTGGAAAGAAATGTTTTTAAAAATAATGCTTTCAACTGTGTCTCGAAGTGCCCAAATTACTCATCTCCAGGTTATCAAAACACCAGGAGAGACAGTGGCCACAGTACATAAAAACTACAGTACATAAACTACAGTAGTCTTTAAGAAGATGTTGGATAGCCATTTGTCTCAAACGGTATAGGGTTTCCTGCCAAGGCAGGGGGTTGGACCAGAAGACCTCCAAGGTCCCTTCCAACTCTGCTATAGTATTGTATTGTATAGTACATAAGCTACAGTACATAAAATACATGGTCTTTATGGTTGAAATTAAACAAAGTCTGCAGCCAAAGGAGAATGAATCCATGTTTAATACTTTACCTTGCACTGTTTTACCCAAGTAGTCTCCCTTCCTTTCCTTGTTGATGACATATTGGTATATTTTCCCAGTGGTCAGATTATTGTCCTTTGTGAGCCGGATATCAAGAAACCGTTCGTAGTTCCCCAGATCCAAATCCACTTCTCCTCCATCATCCAACACAAAGACCTCACCTAAAACAAAATGACCACCACAGGTAAGCTTTGTGTCGCCTTCTTGCGCCTATCCAGGTCTGTGTACTGAAAGCGTCCCTCCAAAACCTTTTTCCCAAGCCTAGCATATTCCCGATTGGTGAGCAATGGCAATGCCAGCTGAACCATCCTAGGATCTACTGTGAAGAGCCGAGGTGGCACAGTGGTTAAATGCAGCACTGCAGGCTAATTCAGCTGACTGCAGTTCTGCAGTTCGGCTGTTCAAATCTCACCGACTCAAGGTTGACTCAGCCTTCCATCCTTCCGAGGTGGGTAAAATGAGGANACCTAATGAGAAGGAAGGACTCACTGGAGAAGAGCCTCGTGCTGGGAAAGATTGAGGGCAAAAAAAGAAGGGGATGGCAGAGAATGAAGTGGCTAGATGAGTCACTGAAGCAGGAGGCTGGAGTTTAAATGGACTCCAGAGGATGGTAGAGGACAGGAAAGCCAATAACACGTTTTCTGTCCATGGGGTCGCGATGGGTCGGACATGACTTCGCAACTAACAACAACAAAAAAACAGGAAAACATGGATAGGCACAAAAACCAGCTGGGGTGACTGATCCTAGGAAGAAGGCCAGAGCAACCTTTTCTGAAACTGCTACCTAGAAAAATGACACAGATTTGTCCACATAACTGCCAAGACTCCATTTCAACTCAAAGCACCATCACTATTACCACCCTCATCAAAATCCACACATGCAGTAAATTGGAGAAAATGCAAATTATTAACACTGCTAATTTTATTTATTTATTATTACATTTATATCTGCCCCCCCCCAACCCAGATCTCTCTGTCCAAAGCAAGTAGACTGTAACATTTAAAAAGGTACACTATGAGCTTGGATGCAGAGGTGGCTTCATGAAAGACATTCTGCAAACTAAAACTTAGCTCAGCCAGAGCCAAGTTAAGCAAATTGGGTCTTCAAGCCAGGAAAAAGACTAGTCCAGTGTACTGTATATCTCCAAAAAAATCCTTTAAAAAAATAGCTATCGCATTTATATATTACTTCACCGTGCTTTACCGCCCTCTCTGAGTGGTTTACGGAGTCAACCAATTGCCCCCGACAACCTGGGTCCTTATTTTACCGACTTCGGAAGGACAGCTGAGTCAACCCTGAGCCTATTAGGATTGAAGGAATTGAACTTCTAGTTTCTAGTTTAGTTTCTAGTTTTATTAAGTTTGTATGCCGCCCTACTCCCGAGAGACTCAGGGCGGCTAACAATAAAAAGGGAAGGAATACAAAAAAATAAAATAAAAAACAACAATTTAAAATTCTACAACAGC